TTTATGACTTTAAGGAGCAATGAGACAATGCATAGGCCAATAGACTCTTGGCAGCAGTGTATTTTAACTCCTGTGTGAAAAAAACCCTGATAACCACAGCAGCCCAGATCCAAGAAACAGGGTGCACTGTAGGATCCTAACAGAGCAAATGAAGACAAAGCCTTTGTCTTAGCTTTTGTGAAAGCATACCGCACTGCATTTGTAAGGTCTGGTTGAAGCTTTCCAGTAGTTGCTTAGAAGATGTAATTTAGTTTGACTTTTCCACTTTGAACTATGTTTTAACATACTGCACTTCTCTATGCTTGATTGTGTCTTTCAGTGCTTTTTTACATTTGTGCTTTTTTAGATTTTGTTCTGCTTTTATCATGGAACTTCACAGGATACTTGTATAAGATCTGTTCTAAAGTCTTATCTATTAAATATTCTAGTTCCAACTTCAGGGCCTATCAAGCTTAATTTTTTCAGGTGTATAGTATGACAGTCAGCTGAGATTGTGGGACAGTGTTCACTCAGAAAACAATATCATATTTCTTGTCTTTTTCATTCCTTTTAAAATCTTTAACTTTCAAAAATAATTAGTATAATAAAATTGGTTTCTGTTTAATTCTTCTATGTAAAATAGATGTTTGATCAACCACAGTGACTGCAGAAAGCTTGAAGGAGTTTCTGCCCAGTCCAGGCATAAAGGTGAAAATTGGCATCATGGGCAGCTGGGAACTAGCAGGCTCTGGTGCCTCCTTGTAAACTGGGTTAGTGCCTAATCAGCTGAATATTGCTGCCCTCTAATTAAGACTCTTATTGGCTGTGCCAGCTGTTTGTGGGTGGGCTGGGTGCTATTTAAAACTCTGGTAGCTAGACTTTGGGTGCAGATGCTCATCCCTTCTTGGTAAATTAAAGGAGGCTGCTGAGCCGCTGTGCACAGACAGAAACACACCCTGCAGGGCGTGGAGTGCAAGGCGGCCAGGCTTGACACCCCCACTCCCTGCTCAGTGTGCTGTACAGCAGCGTGAATAGAGCCACTGAGTTCAGAGCTCCTGCAGCCTCCACACCGCTTCAGACATGTCTAGCTGACAGATAGAAAGAAAGGAACGGAAAGAAAGAAAACAATTCTTAGAAGAATTCAGATTGATGAGATGAATGTGGTGAATCTTCATTTTCTGACAAATGATACTTATTAAATACACCAACACTTGTGAGGACATGTGATTTTTTATGAAAAATATTTCTCCCATTCCTTTCTCATTGTCTATTTAAATTTGAATATTTATCAGCTCTCACTCTTTGGCATACTTTTATTCAACAGACACAGATATGGATTTATGTAGGGAAGACCTTGTTTAACTAATTTTATGGAATTCTTCCCAGCTTAATGGTTGAGGTCCAAACTCTAGGTTACATTTGATTCACTTAGCTGCCAAGCCTTCAAGATGGGCCAAATAGTCCCTCTTATTCTTATAAACAGAGATTACTGTGTTACAGATAACATTCTCAGCACAATATATAATAATGCTTCACTTCTTGCATTTTCTTTAAGAGTGTGTTTGACATCTTGTAGACCAGGGCTATCCAATCCTGGTCCCGGTGAGTGTATCTGCGGGTTTTCATTCCACAATATCTCTTAACAGGCTAAACTAGTTGGATACTAGCTTAACTGGACCAATTTAACAGGTTCTACCAATTCTTCAGGTTCTGCTGCTGTTTAAACAGACCTTGAAAACCTGCAGACACACCAGCCCCCCAGGACTAGGACTGGGAAATCCATGCTATACACTATTTCCATTGGTCACTATAAGCACATTTTACACATTTTGTGAGTATGTAGATGAGGTTCCATTTAGGTCACAGGTTTCCACTTCTTGGGTATTCCAGGCTCTTACCTGGTAATCACGCTAAAATATGTATTTAACTTTACCTCTTGCTGCGACAGAAACATGTTTCATATGTTAACGTATACTACAACATTGGGAGAATTCACATTCCCTCCTCTGGCACCACTGGATCCTGTCCTGTCTGAATCATTATTTGTGTTGATTCCTCCACCAGGATTCATGTTACACATATTTGTGTGGATCCATTAATGATGGGTTTGGTGAAGGGATGGATTTTGACTTATAAGTCAGTGTCCTTGTTCTCAGTATTTTCGTCATAGTTATTTTACTATATTTCAGGGTTTCTTTGGTAGAAACTCAGAAGAGAGTTTCAATTGTGGGATTCTCCAGCAACATCCCTGTCCTTTACTCTTCATCTCTCTCCACCTGTGTGTGTGTTGGTTTGAAAGTGAGAATATGTGTGCTTGAATAAGTGCAATAGACTGGATTGACCTTGTGCTGTGCTGTCTCTAATGCCGACACTCTGTGTCTTGTTCAGTGGCTTATCCACCTGTAGGTGTTGGGATATGAGTGTCTCCAGCTACTTTAAATCTGACACACAGATTGACTAAGCTCCTGTCTCTGGCTGTAATCATGGCTGTCAGTTGCCAGGGTGATACGGGCACTCATTTTATTGCAATTTCAGGCAATATGGAGTGAAGAGATTCTTCTCAAACGTTATTTTCTGCATGCCTTCATGTCTCTCCAAGAATTAGAATCCAGTATGTTTTGGATATGACCAATATGCAAATGGAAATAAAGAAATACATTTTTACTTGAAAGGTATAAAGTTCAATCGTGACCTGGCCTATTAGTTTCTATGTTCTCCCTGTGATCGCATGGGTTTCCTCCCTTAGATGAAAGACATATTGGTAGTTTAATTGGATTCTGGGAAAACAGGTCCTCATATGAGTGTGTGTGAGTGTGAGTGCATGTGGTTTGCTGTGGAATGATGTCCTGTCCAGGGTGTGCCCTGCCTTGTGCCTATTGCTTGCAAGGACTGGTCAAGACCATGAATTAGATGAAGCAGTTAGAAAATGAATGGATGTGGATGAAGTGCATCCCCACCTAGGTCATAACCTCATAAGGTGGATAGAAATAAAACATTGTGATCATTTGCTGCAGCATTAAGGAGAGCAATATCTATCCTGAAAGGAATAAGCTAGAATCAGACCACTAAGTTTGACTCACTTGAAGTTGTTGTTTGCAGAAGTATTAAAACTGCATTTGAAAATAAGGCTAACAATGAGAAAAATATAGTTTTTTTAATTTACAAAGCTTTGATGTTGTGTTGTTATTTGCTGTCACTGGAGCTGTTATTTCTGGTACGACACATCTAAATCAGAGTGCCTTGGCTTTAAAAATGCTGTAATCAAGCTACATACTGTACTGTAACTACATGAACCTTCTCATTAAACAAAAAAATTGTTTGGTGTGAGATAATCTCTGGTTTACAGCACATAGTCACTCACATTTGGTGGTTAAACATGCACTATTTCTCTTCTGTTGAAGCACAATCCTTTGCAGGCATCAATGAGTGAGCTGACAGCCTTTTGTAATGAACACTACTCAGCATTCACTTTAAAAAAGCAACATTCCATTATTTACAGTAAATATTGAAATTCAACAGCAACGGTTTCACACACACCAAACATACCTGGATTTCTGCAGCTAAGTGCATTGCTTTGCAAATAAATATATATCACAGAAATAATATACAGAACACAATGCATTTTTGGGATATGTACTGTATGAGGATTAAATGTTCATGAAATAAGCTTATTTCGAAACATCCCACAGAGAGCTAATCCTGGTAGCCCAGAAATTGAAGTGTTGCTAGAAATGGATTTATAAAATGTCCATCAGGAGATTAGTAACATTACTTTGGTAACAAAGGTTTTGAAACCTTAATGTGTGTTAAAATAGTGAGTGGGACTTTTTCACTCAGATTGAAGAAGATTATGAAAATGGGCCTCAGGGGTGAACAATGTCTCTGAACTCAACCAATACCCACAGTTATATACCCCTGTACCTAAGGCCTGGTTATGGGGAGACCATTCGTTACTCAGAACAAATTTAACACCTGAATACTTTAGACAGATTTCACCCACCAGTACTCTGATGGAAAGACTCAGGTCTTGGAAAACTTAATTTTAATTTTTAACAACCCAAAATAAATCATTTGTAAATGTACACTGTACTTAATATTTTAATCACAACATTTTAACTCTTATGTAAGAAATTAATGGCAATGATCTTTTCATTAAACAAGTGACTTCAAAATGCAGACATTGTGCAAAGACTACTAACCCATCACATTTGTTATCTGCAAAGCAACATACACTAATAATTGGCCCTGCCTTGCTCAACATTATGTGAAACAATAAAGGTTTTTCAAAGCAATTATGAAAGAAAATCCTAATTTTATCCATACCTACTAGTGCCATACTTTGTGGGATTTTTATAGTTGTCTTGTTATACACAAGTAAAGATTACGGGTAATATCACTGTCCTAACCAATTAACTGCAATTATATATAAATACAAAACCTATTGTTTAACTGGAAACTCCTACTTGTTTTCTCAAATAACAATACAGAGCCCACTGTTCAAAAACCCAGCATTTGAATACACTACAGCCCACCACCCTAAGACTAAGCTATTAAACACATTGCAGATCTTTGCCCTAGTGCTGGATTCCTGAACACACTACAGTGCAGCTCTCTAAAGCTGAGGTACTGCTTTAATACTGTGCTACTAAATACACAGCAGCAAAACACTTTAACACTAAACTGATTAAGAAAACACTACATTCTACTTTTTAATGTTGAGTGGCTGAATACCATAGGTAGCTGGATACTGTTCACACCTGAAGAGGGCTTCACAGCCAAAACAATGTTTTTTCTCTCTTCTTTTCAGCATGGAATAAACCCATTGTTGTTCCCTTGAATACCATAAGGCCTACTTACATTATAACACTGTTCTAACCATGGTATAACCTACCAATCAAACACAGAGCAATCCAGCAATCTTAACTACTGAAGCACTCAAATTCTCTGCCTTGTACAATAAACCTTGTGCTAGCAATGTTGATGCGATTTCAGACCCTCATGGAAAATAAAAATGGTACTACCTTGACATACAGTGAGATGTCGTACTCCTGAGGTTCAGAACCACTCTCCTCCCTGAGTGTCCCAGGACCTATCGCTGCTTCCTGGTTTGGTGCCTCCAGAACTGCTTCTCCCTCAACAACCTCTTCCTTCTTCCTTGGTAGACCATTATCTTCCACCTCCTTCTGGCTGTGTTCTGCAGTAGACTCAGCCTCGGCTTCGACCTCATCCTCACTATCACTGCTTGACTCCTCACTGCTGCTGCTGCTTTCCTCCACTGCTTCCCCCACTCCCTCCTCTGCCTCTCTGGGCTCCCTCTCCCCCCTCTGCAGGTATTCTTCCTGCTCAGTCTTCCCCTCTTCTTCAGTCCCCTGCTCCTCTCCTCTCTCCTGTCCGCCTGGGATGCCAGAGGGTTCCAAGATGGTCTCAGATGTGGCAGCAGTAGGCCCAGCCTCCTCTCCCTGTGTATTTCCACCATTAGTCACCTCTCTCTCTAAAGAACCAGTGCTCTTCTCCATTCCTTCCACTGTCTGTTCTGCTTCCGCTGTTGTCTCATCCTCCTGTCTCTCCCCCTCTTCTTCTGTGCCCTCTTTCCCATTGGGAGTTTTGTTTTCTTCAGTGGGTGCACTGCCTTCTTCAATCTCCTCGGCTAGACAAGGACTCTCGTCCTGTGCCTTCTCTCTCACCTTCTCCCCTGCCAAACTGTCCTGCCACGGCTTCTGCTCTCCAGTGCTATTGGTCAGGTCTCCATTGAGAAACTCTGACTTGGGCCCCATGGTGGCCACATCATTTTCAGTCTGGGCCATATTGCTGGGATACTGTGTCTTTCTGCGTGTGTGTCTGTTATAATCTGTTTGGTCAGTGTAAGTGGTAATGTGCAGGTCTGTTTGTCTTCTCTGGCTGTTTCTCCGACTCCTGCCAGTGTTTCTGTGTCCCTGTGGTTACTGTGGCTTTCCCTTCCTGCCTCTCTCTCTCATGCTCCCTCCTTCTTAGGGATTATCTAGAATTTCAGACCCTGATCTCCACATGACTTCTTTGCTTAAATCCTGTACTTCAGGGTCTTGGTTATTCAGGCTGATCCATTTAAAGGGACAGACACATCTCCATTTTTAGTCTTCCATCTCCGACAGTGAGCTCCCTCAGTACACAGCTGAGGAAAGCTTTCCATGGTACATGGGATAGAGGACAAATGTCACTGAACCCTTTCATAAAGAACCAAATGAGTTGTGAAGATAAAAAGGAATAATATAAAAAACATATTCAGTTCTGGTTAGGCAGAGGTGAGATAGCCACCTAACCTACAGTATCTTTTATTAAAGACACTTTCCTGTACCTATAAGAGGACACACTAGAATAAAACAATGAAATACTAATATCTGATAATTATTTACACCTCTTTTATGTGACTGACTGAAAAGCAACAATTAAGTATTATTATTATTATTATCCAATTCAGGGTCATGGGGGAGCTGGATACACCTTGGACAGGATGCCTGTCTATCGTGGGGCACACAGAGACACAAACACATACACACTCTGACCAGGGACAGTTTTTTTTTTTTTCCAGAAGCCAACTAACCTACCTGTGTGTTTTGGGACTGTGTAAGAAGACCATGCGAACACGGGTAGAACATACAAACTCCATGCAGATAAAACCACAGGAATAGGGGTTGTTAGCAACCCTAATCATTACACTCCCATCATAATAATAATCATCAGCATCATCTTTAATAATGATCGCTTTGTTATCATCAGTTTTTAAACACGAATATCTTGTTTGTTGTAAGGTGAATGGAAAACGGATCAAAGCTGATCAATACGTGGTTTTTATTAAACATTTGAACAGAAGTTGTTAACCGGAACTTTGATTCTCAGTCTGATTACAGCAACGGACCGGTTTTTAGACGGACCGGATTTTTAGTAATAATGGCGGCGACCTTGGGGGTGATAATGTGAATAGAAGTTGCACATGAATTATCTAACGCGCTTAAATCTGATAGTGTAAAGAGTGTGAAGGAGGCAGCGGGAGGAACAGTTTAGAGAAGCGGTTTTAAACTTTGCAATACAAGCATGATCCCTCTGTTAAAATCGGCCGTCCAGGTATTCGCCCGGAGCACTGGGTGCACAGGTACTGTACATTTAATAACTGCGAATTAGCTCAGACAGTAATGTAGTTTGACCTCCCAGATTATATCGTAATTATATTATAGTGTCTCCAGTGTATGCTCGCTTGGTATGGTGAAGCTGCATTTCAGGCTGTACAGTATGTCATAGACCAGTTGCACTGGGCACACTTCTGTGGAGTGCAGATTATTACTGTATGTTTCAATTGATGCTGCTGCTTTAGCTGCTTCCTTTTAAGCGGTATAAGGAGCTGCTACACATTCAGTGGGGGAATGCTGTTTTCGGTTTTAAGTTAACGGTAATAAGGTATGCAATTTTTTCGAATTTTGCCTTGTTCTGTAACTTAACCTCCTGACTTGAATGTCAACAAAAAGTACTCTATAATCTTTTACAGAGTTACAGTTAGAAATTAATTCATAGTCCTAATTTCCACTGTGACCCTTGGATCAAATGTTAAATAAATAGCTGTTCTCAGTGTGATCAGTGGCAGGACCCAGAACTGGTGATATTGGAAGGTGAAATTGTGAACTAGTAAGATATATAATAATGAACATTTTTTGTTTTAATTTTATTTAATTTATACATGTAAAATAAAATATTTTTGTTGGCCCATTTTTATTGACTTCTTTATCGACTGGATTTTGTGAGGAAAATAAACAGTTTAGTACAGGTGTTATTTTTGTAAACATTTGTGTCTGAAGGTGTCTGATTTTTCTGGGGCCTGATGACCCCCTCCTCCCTAAAATGATTTCACTTTCAGCAAAAGAGTCAGATTAAATGTATTTTTTAAGTCTTAATGTAGTTACCCAACTAATGTTTGTGTTTTTCTGCTGTAATTCAGTTTTGAACAGCAGAAAAAGCCACCATCAGGTGAAGTGCAGTTTAAGAAAGCCCATGGCATTGGCTGAGGTATTGGAGATATCTTCACTTGCTCCTGTTCTGGATAATAAAATGTTCTTGCTTCTCTGTGTTTTATAGGGCTCTTCCAGAACCCCCTCAAGGTTCTCTCTGCAGGACTGAAAACATATGCCCCGCCCCCTGATTACAGTGGTAAGACTGAATGAAAGGCATCATTGTCTTAATGCCATGTAGAAAATAGGAGTGACTGACAATAGTGTCCGACGCTGTGTGGAGAC